CACAGCAGCAGCAGCAGCAGCAGCAGCAGCTCCCGCGTCCCGAGCCCGCCCGCGTGCCCTCGGCCGCCCCAGAGCCCAAGGAAAAGCCCAAGGAGAAGGAGTCCAAGGGCATGTTCCGACGCATGCTCTCTGGCGCCGCCGGCCACTCGTCCGACAAGGACAAGGACAAGGACAAGGCGCACCACGCCGACGCCGTGGGCAGTCCGGGCCGCGAGCGTCCGTCGCCGCGCACCGCGGCGAGCGCTCAGGGCAGCGGCCACATCTCGCCCATGCGCTCGCCCTCGCTCAGCCGCGGCTCCACGCCGCCGCTCAGCCCGCGCAACGAGATGGACGAAGCGGCGCTGGCGTCGCAATACCAGGCCATGAACCTCACTAGCCCGCCCTCGAGCCAGCCGCCCAGCCGCAACGTCTCGATCAAGCGCAAGGACAGCAGCTCCGCCGCCAACGCCGGCGAGGACGGCGCCACCGAAGGCAGCAGCCGCCTCACCGTCGCCGCGCTGCGCGACTGGGACGCCAAGGGCAAGCCGGACAAGCCGAGCTCCGGCAGCAAAAAGTCGGACCGCGGCAAGGACGGCGATGCCAAGTCCACCGCGAGCTCGACGCTGCGCGACATGATCATGGGCAGCGCGCCCAAGCTGAGCCGGCGCGGCTCGAGCGCCAGCCACGGCAACAAGTCCGACGGCGGCTCCAAGAAGGGCGGCAGCACCGCGGGCGGCGAGACGGCGAGTCTGCTCAAAAAGTACGGCGTGTGCGAAAAGGCGGCGATCGGCAAGGGTGCGACGGCGGTGGTGAGGCTGGCGCACAAGTGGGACCGATCCACCGAGAAGCTGTATGCGGTCAAGGAGTTCCGCAAGCGCCGCAAGAACGAGACGGAGAAGGAGTACGTCAAGAAGCTCACGTCCGAGTTCTGCATCTCGTCGACGCTGCACCACATCAACATTGTCGAGACGGTGGATCTGGTGCAGGACGAGAACCGGCACTGGTGCGAGGTGATGGAGTACTGTCCTGGCGGCGATCTGTACGCGGCGATCAAGCGCGGCGGGATGAGTCAGGCCGAGGTGGAGTGTTCGTTCAAGCAGATCCTCAACGGCATTGCGTACCTGCACTCCATGGGGGTTGCGCACCGCGACATCAAGCCGGAGAATCTGCTGCTGGACGGACATGGCCACATCAAGATCACCGATTTCGGCGTGTCGGATGTGTTTAGGATGTGCTGGGAAAAGTCGACGCACTACTCCAAGGGGTTGTGTGGATCCGAGCCGTACATTGCGCCGGAGCAGTTCGAGAAGAAGGAGTACGATGCGCGCCTCGTGGATGTATGGGCGGCCGCGGTGGTGTTTTACTGCATGCAGTTCCAGGAGCTCCCCTGGAGGGTGGCCAAGATGTCGGATCCGACGTTCAAGGAGTACGTCCAGTCGTACGCCACCAGCCCGGCACCGAGTCCGCTGTCGAACCTCAGTCCGAGAGAGTGCCGGCCGCTGCTCAAGAAGATGCTGTGTCCGGATCCAAAGGGCAGGTGGACGATGGACGAGGTGCTCAAGGATTCGTGGCTCGTCAGTGTGCCTGTCTGCGAAGAGGGAAGGCAGAACGATCATACCCACTCGGCTGCACCCAGCATGGCCTAGTTCCCATCGTTCTTGCTCCTCCCCTCGATCGCTTTCCGTTTGTCAGACTGTTTGCAATTGTTTTCCAGAGATGTCTCTTTCTACATGGCAGTGCGGTGGGAGGGGGGAAGTTTAGCGGGAGGAGGGGACTGCGGAGATGAATCCGCCGTCGACGGCTACGATTTGGCCGGTGATGAACTGGTTGGCGGCGAGGAGGAGGACGAGTTGGGCGTATTCGCTCTCGCTGCCCACACGACCGGCAGGGTTGTTGTGGCCAGTGACGTCGTTGGGGTTGGTTTTGCCCTTGTCGCTCTTACCTCCGCTGGTCATTTCGGAGCTGAACAGACCGGGAGCCAAGGCGTTGACGCGGATGGCGGTGTTGGAGTTGAAGCGGAGTTCGTGGGCGAGCATTTGGGTGAGGTGGTTGGCGGCGGCCTTGGAGGCATTGTAGGCGTAGTGGAACTGGCTCGTCTTGACGATACCGCTAATGCTCGTGATGTTGATCACCGACGCCGTCCACTTTCCCTGCTGCGTCGAAGCGGAAAGAGGATGGGAGTGGGATGCGGAAAGGAGAGGGAGGAAGGTCATGGTCGAGAAGAAGATCGAGGAGGTGTTGATGCGGAACAGCTTATCCCACTCTTCAAACGACTCGGACGCCAGGTGGGCAGAGGAAAGATCGGCAGCGGAGAGGGAAGAGGGGGCGGGGAACTTGGTCATGGGCCCTTCAATTCCGGCGTTGTTGACTAGGATGTGCAACTTGCCCTCCTCCTTCTCGATCAGCGACGCAATACGGCCCAAGTCTTCCTTCGAAGATACATCGCCCTGAACACTGTTCTCCCCAAAATCACAAGTCAGTCAAATCTCCTTTAGACAAATGTGGGTCGTGGGGTGTTGGAACTCACGCAACGAGCTTGCCAGACTGCAGGGTGGGATTGTACTCTGCCACCGCCTCGTCCAGACGCTGCTGACGCCGACCGGAGATGTACACCTTGGCGCCGTTGGATGCGAGTGCCAGTGCGGCGGTGAGTCCCAGACCCGTACCACCGCCCGTAACGAGGGCGATCGCACCGCGCAGATCAAACAGCGAGCCAGCTTGAAGAGACATTTTTAACAAAGAGGACGATGGAGAGAGAGGGAGGAGGGACGACTGATGCCGGAAGGGAGAGACTTTATAGGCTTGTGTAAGAGTGTGGGAGTGTGGGATGCGGGGACGTGCCACACAGCGGAGGTTTAGATCGCCGAAGCACGAGGCGAGAGATCACCGAGCATCGACGGACGTCGGTAATCTTGTCGGGATCGTGATTAGATCGGGAAACGAGCGACCCGATGTCGTACGGATGCGTCGAGGCGTGCCGTGTGTTCCGAGTTTGTGTGGAGGCGAACGAAAGGCCGGGCTTTGCTGTCGTACGAGCATGGCTGTCGTACAGTGCACTATTGGCCCGCAAAGAGCCCTGTTTCCGAGGCATGGACCACTCTGATGGATGTCGTATGCCAACCCCCCCTCTGGGTTCTTCCTTCGTTCTTCCCTTCCTCCTCACCGCACTGTCTTCATCATGTCGCTGCCTTCCGGTAATCCTCCCACGATGCTGTCTGTGAACCCGCCGTTCCGACACGCCCACGTGGGCTCGTTCCTTCGTCCGGCGTCGATCCACACGGCCCGCTCCTCGTTTGCCGCCGGCTCGATTTCCGCCGCGGAGCTGCGTACGATCGAAGACCGCGAGATCGCGTCGCACGTGCACGAGCTGCTCGAGAACGGCGTGCAGGAGATCACCGACGGCGAGTTTCGTCGCGAGTACTTCCACCTCGACTTCCTCAAGCACATCGAGGGGATTACGATCAGCAAGAACACGCTCGAGCAGAAGGAGGGCCGTGTACCTCCAACGCTCAGTGTGACGGGTAAGCTGAGGCATACGCACGACATCGAGGTGGACAACTTCAAGTACCTCCAGAGCCTCGTCCCCGCGTCCGAGGTCAAGAGGATCAAGATCACCATCCCCAGCCCGACCATGTGCCACTTTAGGGGCGGTCGTGCCGCCATCAGTAGCGAGGCGTATCCGGACTTGGAGCAGTTCTTTAGCGACTTGGCGGCGGTGTACAGAAAGGAGATCGCTGCGCTGTACGCTGCTGGATGTCGATACATCCAGCTGGACGATACCAACCTCGCCTACCTTACCGATGAGACGATGCGAAGTCAAGCAGCATCTCGAGGCGAGGACCTGGACAAGCTCCCGCTAGACTACGCGCGATTGATCAATGCCAGTCTGGCCGACAAGCCGGGCGACATGGTGGCGGCAATCCATCTGTGCAAGGGCAACTTCCGATCGCAGTTCTTCGCCCAGGGCAGCGAGGACGGATACAACCCCATCGCCAAGGTCCTCTTCCAGCAGCTCAACGTCAACGCCTTCTTCCTCGAGTGGGAAGACAGCCGTTCCGGCAAAGACTTTTCGGCTCTTCAACACCTGCCCCCCAACAAGGTCGTTGTTCTCGGTTTGGTCTCGTCGAAACACGCAAAGATGGAGAGCAAGGACGAGCTGGTCAAAAAGATCAACGACGCTGCAGGCGAGATCAAGGCCGACGACGGCTTGCGCCAGTTGGCTATCAGCCCCCAGTGCGGTTTCAGCTCCACCGTCCATGGAAACGAAATCACCAAACAGACCCAGTTCGATAAGCTGCGCCTCTGCAGGGACGTCGCACAGCACGTCTGGAAGGACACCGTCTAAACCCAACCCCCCCC